GCTCACGCGCGCCGGCCTGCAGGGCCGCACCGGGCTGGCTCTCTACGTGGCCGGGCTCAATGCGCTGCTGCTGCTGCTCTACCGGCCGCCGCGCTACCAGGTGCGGGCCGGGTGCGGAGGGACCGGGGTCGGGGACGGGCGGGCCGGACAAGTGAACCGGGACCGGGGACAGGTGTACCGGGACCAAGGACGGGAAGGCTGGAGGATTGAACCGGGGACGGGCGGGACGAGGTGACTGGTTGACCCGGACTAGGGACAGGGCGGGACGGATAGGGTGGACCGGTAGACCCGCACCCCAGACCTGGATCAGCGACGGGGGTGGACTGGATCTGGACTAGGGCCGAGTGGACCGGAACCAGGCAGGACCGAGCTGGCTGCGATGGGGCAGGGCGGGCCGGGTGCACTGGAGCTGGAGACAGGGCAGATGAGCCCGGGTAGACAGGGATCAGGGACGATCAGGCGGGGACCCAGCAAGGGTAGGCGGGCCAGGTACATCAGAACCAGGCAGACTGGGCTCGGAGACCAGGATCCGGCAGGCATGGCTGAGTAGATGGACAGGGACCGGGCTGACGGAGAACTGGGATTGGAGCTAATCTAGCGGAAGTGGGTTAAAGGAACACTGTATTAACTAGCCTGGCGGTGATCCGATGTTCAGTTCTCCTTTTACCCCCCTCTCCCGCGCAACGTTGCGGGATGCCTTCCACAGACATGTATCTCAGCCCTAAGTTGAGGTCACAGGAGGGACCCACTTCTATCTGTGGGTGTTAATTGCATTTCCTTCCGATCAGCAGCTTCGGCAGATTCACGTCAGGTGGGAAATGAGCTAATCCACGAGTTTTTAATTTATGTAACGACAGGTGTGGTGTTTTACCTGCTCGTCAAACGGCCTACTTCACGGAGGTTACTGGCCACAGAGTTCCGAGTATTCGCATTAGACTCGTTGACTTGGGAGTATAGGCCATAAACTGGGCTTAAACAGTTTTCCATAGATAGCCCTGGTAATGCTAGCCGTAATAATGATAATTATTGTGACTGTTAAAACTGGTTGTTTCTAGGTGCTTTGCGTGGTAAATCCTCTATGTAGCCCTACAGTATTGATATTTCCGTGCTGTAGATGGGTAAACTGTCATTTAATAACTTGCCGAAGGCTAGAGAGAAGAGAGGGGAATGTAAGACACAATTTGAACCCAAGCAGCCCCATTTCATCCTCTTGATCTCTTGAGCAAATGGACTCTGCTCGCTGATGGCCTTGCTAATAATCCAGGACAGTCTGCAGTCTGGGTTTGGACTCTGCTAAGGGAACATCCGGTGACTGAGGCTCTTCTGGGTGTGTTTTCAGATAGCCATCCGAGCTTGTTTCCTTGGCTTTGTGTTTGGCTGCGGTGTGCTGCTAAGTTTCAGCCAGTCTTCTTGGAATCACTTTGGCTGGTAAGAAGACTTTGGGAATGATGGTGTTGAGGTGTGAGGGTCGACAGAGTAGGGGCCTCTCCTCATCCCTGTGTGGGCTCTGACAGAACAGGAGGCTGATTAGGATTCTGAAGAAGCAGCCTCCTGCCTTCCCCGAATTCCCGCATTTCAAAGCCTGTGAACACAGTTGTGCATGTTAGTGGCTTGTGTGGTGGATGGAATCGGGTCTCCCTGTGCCCTCTGCAGAGGTCCCTGCCATCCGAAGCTGCTGTGATGGGTGCAGGTCCGCGGTGATGGGAAGGGGCGAGCCTCCCACTGTTTTCCTAAGCCTTCTCCATCTCCGGTTTCTATTAGGTCCCGGCTAGTGCTTCCCCCACAGCCAGTGTAGGACTTTCCCCTACACTATGAGTTCAGTCCCTTGAACCTTCTAGCCTCTGACTTGGATATGAATCGTGGCTTCAAGGTAAAAAGCTTTATCTCCTATTATCAGTATGCTGAGCCATCTAATCCTTCTTTGCTGGAATTATTTTAGTTTTGTTGAATTTTGTTTCCAACATGTGTCACTACCTTGTTGATATCCCCCCCTTTCATGTTAAAATGTGAAACTGTCATCTTCAGAGGAGCAAAGGGACCATAATTCCTTCTTCACCTAGGGAGATTTTTTTAATTTTGTCTGTGACATCCGGAAACATAACAGCACCACCCAAACCCTCTTTCTGCAAGCTCAGGAGGGAGTGAATGGCGTGTATGTGTGCCTGGTGTCGCTCAGGTGGGTGACGGCGGCAGCACATGACAGGGCTAGGGACCGTCAACAAACCCAGATCTGGGCTTTGCCTAACATGGTTCTCTTGTGTAGTCTCCCACTTCGTTTTTGTTTTTAAATAGGTACGTGTGCTCGCTGTCATTATTCCACTATTCTGAGTACTTAGTGACAGCTGTCAATAACCCCAAAAGTCTCTCCTTGGATTCCTTCCTCCTGAATCACAGTCTGGAGTACACGGTGGCCGCTCTTTCTTCCTGGATAGAGTTCACACTTGAAAACATCTTTTGGCCAGGTGGGTGTGCCCTGCTTTCTTCTCTGGGAGAGAAGGGTGCCTTCTTGTGGGCTGAGGAGTGACATTGGTTCACCTTTCTGGTCCAATCTCCCCTGAGCAATTCTCCCCCATGCTCTCTCCTCTCTAAGCTATTTATAAAGGACACACTCCACTCGCTGGAGAATTCTGCTTCTGGATTTCCAGTCCAGGACGTGCTGACCTTTTGCTCTGCATCTTGCAAATGCGGGGCACTGCCTAAGACAGCGCTCTGCCTTGCTGGTTGCAATCTTAATTTTGCCATTGGACAGATGAAGTTTGGGCCTGAATACTTTTCTGTAACATGAGAAATTCACAAGGTTTTATTGTTTAAAACAAACGAACAAGCAAAAATCCCAAACCTTTGTGTTGGGAACACTCCTAAATCATGCTTTCCCAAAATCAGATATGGGGCTTCGGACTGACTTCCACAGGGCCATGTCACTTTCAGTAGTACATGCTTTCTGGAGAAGAAAGTGAGCGGAGCCCGCCAGGCCTGGCAGGGAGAGCTACTCACAGTTGACTTGTTGGTACCTGAAAGGGAAGCAATGATGCTGGGGTTGGGGTGGTGTTTTCTTCCCATTTAAGTTTGATGTGAGAACAGATGCTGATTACCGTCAGGGTGTTTTCTGATGTTTGTCTCTGGAGGGAATAGGTGAAGGGGCGATCACACCCGGTGTCCCCACTCCCTCTCGTCCCTGCGTCTGTTTCTGCAGAACTGAAGCAGATCACCTGGCTCAGCACCACTGGGCTGCTGATGGTGGTGTTTGGGGAATGCCTGCGGAAAGCGGCCATGTTTACAGCTGGCTCCAATTTCAACCACGTGGTGCAGAGTGAGAAGTCAGACACCCACACTCTGGTGACGAGCGGGGTGTACGCCTGGTTCCGGCATCCCTCCTACGTGGGGTGGTTTTACTGGAGTATCGGAACCCAGGTATGGTACCAAAGTTGACACTGGTTCCCTGTGAATTTACTTTCCTAAGGTCATTTCTTTTTTTGGTATCTCTACAAAAAGTCTTGCTGTGTAGTTCAATCTTACTCAAACTTGCAGCCTTTCTGTATAGGCCTCTTGACTTTTTAACATTTCTTAAATTGGTGTATAATTGGTACACCATAAACCCCACTCTTTCTAAATGTGCAAAGCTGGGAGACCTAATCTAGTCCACCAGTGTTTTGGAGGTAAAATCTTGGCATTGTTTTAAATTAATTAATTATTTTCTTTATTTTAAACTTGAAGACAATTTATTCTTTAAAGGAAAACTGCCAGGGCAGGCAGGTGGTAAGTCTGGCACTTACCAGGAGGATAGAGGTGAGCACAGAGGTCAGCCAGCGACTGGTGGGGGGTGAGGGGAGGCAAGCCTGCCTTCCTGAGTGGCGGGTGACCCCTGGTGGCACTGGTACTCTGCTGCCCTGTATTGTGCCCCATTCTGCCACTCTGCACGGAATCTGGAACATCTCGGGTGGGGGAAGGTAGACTTTGGGGAGGGAATGTCCTCGGCCACCCTGTGGTGACTCAGTGGGTTTTCATCAAAAAAAGAAGAAAAAAATAGGTCTAAATGAGGCCAAGGTCCTGCCAGGTTAATGAGAGCTGTGGGGATTTGTTCTGTCTGGGGATGAGGACAAACCCTTGTTTCTCGACAGCTGTCTCTGGATGCTATACTTAGTCTAAGAACAGCTTGACCAGAGAGTGCAGATAGAGCCTGGAAAGATCACCCGGGAAGCTCAGACATCACATCCGTGGTGCATGGGCCATGGAATTCTGGTGACCCCATAATGGTATAGGAGGTGACTCTGGCGTTCCCAAAGCTGTGCGTTTCTGAGACACTGCACTGCCGCCCTTGCCGCCACAGCCCCGCCCGGGGCAGCACTGATGAATCTAATTTGTCTAAGCACTTATGCGACATAAGGGCCTTGGAACTGAAGAGGTTATTGTCCTTTTTAGATCATAGGTGTTTTCTGCAGTGTCCCGCGTGCGCATGCCTGTGGGATGAGTCTCTCTTATCCTTATCTTACACACAACACTGTCTCTTGTCCTGGCTGGAATGGTGCTGATGACGCATTGAAAATTGGTTTTCCCAGCTCAGTGGAAGGTTACACTGATGATTACGAATCCTGCCATCATCGAGGCTGCCCAGAAAGCTGCACACATCTGCCAGGTGTGAGTGCGCAGACTGTGGGTACTGCCAGATGGGCCAGGCCTGGTTGCTGAGGCCTGCCTTCTCTACCCTAAAAGCCAGGACAGTCTTTAGTGTGGGGACAAAGATTGGTTGAAGTGGCTTAGCATGGTGCTATGAGTATAGTGAGTAGTCTGTGACCAGTGCAGGGACTGGGGAGAAGCTGGGGTGTGCCTGGTTCCCCGAGCAGGAGTATCGCCAGATGGGTTCTGATGCCTGTGGTGAGTATGGGTGGGTTACTGGTTTCCGTGGTAGCAAAGGAAACTTCTAGGAGCCAGGGATACTTTCAGCTTTGACGGACTTTTTGGCTGGAAGACTAGGTTAGAAAGGGGTTAAAAAGAAACCACATAAAAAAGGTGGCCAGGACAGGTGGATGCCTGTGGGCACTGCCACTTTCTGAGCAGAGTGATCTCTGAAAAGAAATGTTTGTGGAAGCTCAGATGGTAGCAGTTGGCTCATGTGGTCTTGAGGGCAGAAAGCAAGGGTCCAAGACAAGTAGGCATATCCAGATGGGCATGAGTTCCCGCATCAGGGAATTCACATTTGAGTCCAGGTGGGGATGTGTCACCTATGGCTGAAACCCGAGAGTATTGTCTTTCCCTATAACTAAGGTCTTGCTTTACTCAAGAGAATCACAGGCAGATGCAGCAGTGAGGGTGCCTCCAAGGAGTGTTAATGGCTCTCACAATATTGTGAGAGTCTTCTGGGGCCCGGCAAGAAATCCTGTGGGGAGAAGGTGCTCGGGCATCAGGGCACTCTGACCTTGGACATCCTGTGCTTCTTCTGCCAGGTGATGCTGTGTAACCCCATCTGCGGTGTTGTCTACGCCCTGACGGTATGGCGCTTCTTTCGTGATCGCACGGAAGAGGAGGAGATCTCGCTGATTCACTTCTTTGGGGAGGAATACTTGGAGTATAAGAAGCGGGTGCCCACGGGTCTGCCTTTCATAAAGGGAGTCAAGGTGGAGCTATGACGGGCAGAGGCCTGCGGGGCCAGGGAATCTCTGGCCCTGCGCGGCCTAGGACAGAACTGCTTCCAGTTGGCCTCTGCAGAATGAGTTTCTTAACCATTTTATACATCACTAATTACTCCTCAGAATGTCACCCAAGACCTAACGGTCAGAAGGCCTTAGGACCACAGGGCCCACTGCAGCATTCTCTTGTGCGTACTGAAGACAGAGTACAGATAAACAGTGAATAAGGAGCGTGTCACAATGGTCCCATCAGCGCCCTTTCTACAGTGCGGGGTGAGGACCCAAGCCACAGTCTCACGCCCCCTCAGGCTAGAGTGTATTTGCATTGTCACCAGGACACTCGGGAGAAGACACTGCCCTCTGCAGCACTCATGCCAGAATGTGTAGTCAGAGCTGCCTCATAATAGCGTTCAAATTACACCAAAACCCTTTAATTTAACCGAAAACAAAACATAGCTTTAACCTTGTCTGCCCTAAGTGCATGAGCATCTGTGTTAACTCCAAAGGCTTTTACACTTTGGCTCATTATACATTAATCATCCTTCCACGCCAGTTTCCTAAAACAGCAGTGTGGATTCAGAGGGACACGGATGCTCCAACGGGCAGCACGGACCCCTCAGAGCAACCATTGCACTCTGCCTGAGGATGCGGGCCTGGGTCTCCTGCAGCCCTGGCCTCAGAGATTGTGTTCCCAGGAAGTATTTTTCAGGTGCCTGTGCTAATGTTGAGAAGTACTGGCCTCTGTGTGTTTGGGATTTTTATTCATTTTATCATAACTTGTGTTTTGTATTTTTTGTGTTGCAGTGTGAGTCTATTACATTTGTTTTCTGTGTTTTTTCAAAGTAAGTCACCCCTACTACTGCTTCAGATGTTCCAGAGGGTCCAGCATAGCTCATGCGTCTATGGGCCCAGCATAGCTCATGCGTCTGTGGGCCCAGCATAGCTCATGCGTCTGTGGGCCCAGCATAGCTCATGCGTCAGCGGGTCCAGGCAGCTGACTCCTAAAGAGCCTTCAGTTGGGCGGCTCAGTCCAGGTCCACTGGCATCTTCGTTCTGTGGGTCTGGGGAGGAGCATTTAGCTTTTTCTATGTTCCACATAAAAAGCTTCAAGAGGTGCGGTGGTATGGGACAATGGTTTATATTCTGTCAATTATATTTTAAATAAATGCTGATTGGCCAGTAGCCAGACAGGAAGTATAGGCGGTACAACCAGTCAGGAAGTAGAGACTGGTCAATGAGAACAGGAGAATTCTGGGAAGAAGAAACTCCTGTTTGGCAGTTGTGAGCCCACCACAGAAGAAGCAAGATGTGACTGCCTAGCTGAAAAAGGTACTGAGCCACGTGGCTGATATAGATAAGAATAATGGGCTAATGTAAGTTGTAAGAGTTAATAAGAAGCCTGAGATACTAGGCCAGTCAGTTTATAACTAACATAGACCTCTGTGTGATTTCTTTGGGACTTAACTGTGGAAACCGGGCAGGACAGAAAACTCAGTCAACAAATGGCACCCACGTGGACAACTGCATCCACATAAAGCCTGACAGAGCTTGGGAAGTAATTCTAGACAGAAAAGAATAAAGTTAAGCATGGCTTATTGATAGCAGCATTTTCTCAGATGGGCTCTGCTTGCTAGAGGCAAGCGCTCTCATTTAAGAGAGGCTTCCTGACTCAGCATTAGCTGGAATGAGGCCGGAATCTCAGAAAGCTAAGGAATGGGCTAGATCCAGCCGTCAAAGCCATGGCTTTAATCCTACCCATATTGCTTAGTAAATACTCATGTGGTCAGAAAAAGAGAGAGAGATACAGTAAAGAGAGATTGTTTACAGTGTGTTAAAAATATATGCAAGTTTGGGAGAGTAAAGAAAGAGGTTAAAGTCCTTAAAATAAAAAAGAGTAGTTGGGTTTGGTGGTACATGCCTTTAATCCCAACACTTGGGAGACAGAGGCAGACAGACCTCTGTGAGTTCAAGGTGTGGTAGCTCACGCCTTTAATCCCAGCACTGGGGAGGCAGAGACAGGCAGATCTCTTGTGAGTGCAAGGACAGCCTGGTCTATAGAGTTAGTTCCTGGACAAAGGTGCACAGAAACCCTGTCTCAAAAAGCCTAAAAGTAAAAATAAAATAGAGGTTAAAATAAAGCCATGTAAAGATGAAAAATACACAGAGAGTCTGGATACTGTGTGTTATTATGCTCTCTTTGAATTGTTTGAATGCTGAGGAAGGAGCAACAGCTGTTAAAAGATATTTGTTAATACATGCTGCTGAATTAATCCAAGAAAGGTACTTTGAAAATACCCTGACTTCAAAAATGAAATTAAAAGGTATGTTACTTTGGAGAAGAGGTTTTGCTTTTGTTTCTACAGGAAATGATAGACTTGATAGACTGTGGATTCATTCTGAATTTTAAAAAATCAGGTTTGGTCAAGGAAGACCACCTGAGAAATCTCTGGTAGGAACAGATGGCCCAGATGTCTGAGTTTTACATCCAGAACAGATTCCAGATGCTGCCTGAGATGATCAAGCCTCACAGGATACTCCAGTCAGGACTTGATCATAATTCTAAATTTTCTTTTGGTCCCCAAAAGATTATCAGCGCCCCCAACCAGCAGGAAGTAGCCTGGAAAACTACGCCCACATTCCCAAAAAATGGACTATGGATATTTTTCCTTTGCTTAGCATGTTGGTTACAAGTTGTTGTCGCTAATGGTCAGGAGAAAGCTAAACAAAGGATATTAGATTCAGAGTTCTTGTTTTTTTTTTTTTTAAAGGGCAAGTGATGTGTGGGACATTGGTTTATATTCTGTCAATTATATTTTAAATAAATGCTGATTGGCCAGTAGCCAGACAGGAAGTATAGGCGGTACAACCAGTCAGGAAGTAGAGGCAGATCAGTGAGAGCAGGAAAATTCTGGGAAGAAGGAACTCCTGGTTGGCAGTTGTGAGCCCACCACAGAAGAAGCAAGATGTGACTGCCTAGCTGAAAAAGGTACTGAGCCATGTGGCTGATATAGATAAGAATAATGGGCTAATGTAAGTTGTAAGAGTTAAGAAGCCTGAGATACTAGGCCAGTCAGTTTATAACTAATGTAGACCTCTATGTGATTTCTTTGGGACTTAACAACTGTGGAAACCCTGACAACAGTGCGGCCCTTGATAATCTGGACCTGGTCTTGATGTGAGGTCCTTCCAGACTGGGGCTTTTGTTTGCTTCCTCCAAACTTCTACTCAGATGTAGAAGAGTCTTAAGTATCCAACAGACAAATGAGACGAACTGGGTAAAACGCCCACTCTGGACATGTCGGCAAGTCAGCTAACGCTTGGTTCTGATAGTGGACATGCGGCCATCTACCAGGATCCAGATCGGCCTGCAATGGAACTGCAAAAGAATTCCCTCCCCCATGTACCTCTGAACAGAGACATTCTTAACTGACACATCACGGGGTTGCCAAGATGGATACTTAGTATTCCTGGCATTCAGTGTAGCCTTCTGGGAGTCCCCTAGTACAGCTCTGTCCTCCCAGGCCTCAAGCACACTAATGCAGATGCACGCTTGGCAAACACTAGGTTGGGCAAGTCCAGGCTGCAGTGGCCATGGTGTGCAGCACGCTGGCTTCTTGCTGTACCTAGGCTGGGTCTCCACCAGGTACCCCAGTGTGGGGTTGGTAACTAATGCCAACCTTGAAGCCAGTGGGACCCAGTTCACAAAGTGGGTGCTGCACTGGGACTTGCTGTTGACAGTGGTGGCACAGTATCTTTGAGAACCATATCACAGCAGTACAGCCAGCAGGAAAACGTCCGTCTGCCTTGGTAACCCATGTTTCCATTGTTGGCCGGGCCAAGGCAGGATTGGTGTTCTCTGCCTCAGCAGAGATAATGGACTTGTGTGGCTGGTGAGAAGTAAATGCAGGGATAGGGCACTGGTGGGCACCTGCAGATGGAGCATAGAGACTCAGCAGCTGGAGGAATGGGCCATAACGGGTGCTCTGGCCAAGAGGGTCGTTAAGGTTAGTATGGGTGGAGTGCTCAGAATTGAGATATATCATAGGACCTTGTCAGACAAGGAGGAACAGTCAGGTGGGAGTTAGTATCATGTAGCATTCAGCCAGAGTTGCAAAACCTTGGGGGCTGTGTAAATTGGGGAATTCCAGCTTGTTCTTGCCATAATAAACAGACATTCCATGAATAGGGAGGTGACCTCCTCCAAACCTGCTCCTCCACCAAAACTGAGAATCCAGAAACCTCAAAGACTTGTGCCCTGATCAGTCATCTTAGGAAGCCCAGGAAGCAAGCAGGCGGGGAATTCAGCCAGCTGGAAGTGCTCTTGGGGCCAGCCTGCTTGGGCCTGCGTGAACCGCCAGGAAGACTGACTTCCTAAGAGGCCAGAGCCCCAAGACCACTTTCAGAGCCTGCAGTGGCCCTGACCAAGTGAGGGTGGAGGCAAGGCCTCCCCTTCAGTTGGATGGGGCCAGGATCGCCTACCTCACAGGGGAGTTGTGAGGACTTCGAATAGTGTCCGGTTGATTTTAAGATGAGAGGTTTTATGAATTCTTTTGCAGTTTCGTTGTCTATTGTATATTTATCATATTTAACCCCAGCCCTCAACTTCCTCCCACATCCCTGCCTTTTCCCAAACCCATCTCCGTTATGGCCTCTGTTCTTCCTTAAAACAGTTTGATTTTCCTTTCCTTCCCTTTTCTTTTTTTTATTTAACAACTTTATTGACTCATGAAAGTTTCACATCACGTACCCCAATTCTGCTCACCTCCTGGCCGCTCCCCAGTGTCAGATGTTTTAATGCTTAGGTGAGCCAAATGGCATAATGAAATCTCACAATATTTCTATGTGTTAACTGAAGATAGCTGATATATATTCAAAAGATATTTAGCCAGCCCAGAAGTAATTTATTTTTAGATTACATGGCTTAATTTTCTTTTTTTCTTTTTTTTTGTTCTATGTACCAAAGAGGCTTAGAGGTTTGCCAGTTACTAGCATGAGACCAGGACCTCCTGAGGCCTACAGAGCTCCATGGCGGCCATAGCTATTGTCCACACCAAGCTGCCCAGGAATAACCATGGCAGAACAGCAGTATTCACTTTTGAAATATGAGTGGAGCCAGACCACACCTCCTGAATCCCACCCCACTCAACCAGGCTGCAAATGGGAGGGGTGGGTGTTTGGCAGTCATACCCAGCTCTCTCTCCATGCATCTAGGCTGGGCTGGTTCCAACCTTCATTTCCCCTTGAGGGCCATGAAGTTGTCTTTTTGATGGATGGAGAGCAGCTAATGACAGCCGTTGGCATTGTGGGTAGAAAGGCTGAAGGCTGGCATTTGACATCACCCTCCACCTGCCAGAGAATGGAAAGCTCAACTTGACAACAGTCCAGGAGAGGGAGCTCATGCCGTGGGATCCCTTGCTGAGATGCTTCACCGTACCCTAGGAGACTTGGGGTTGTGTTTTTAAGGGGTAATTTCAAGGGTCTGAGTGCAGGAAGAGCAGGCCCACCCTCTTGGCACTCCTAGGGTAGAAGTCAGCGATGTGCAGTGGACTATGAGTCCCTTAATGGTAGGATTGGCAGGTGATCGCTTTCCCCTGCTGATTGGCAGGTGATCAGTTTCCCTGCTGCTGGTCTGCAGATTATCCTTAACTTTATAGATGTAGCAGTGACAGGTGGTGGCCGAGAATTAGGCTAATGCGGCTTTTCAGGGATTAGACAGGCCATCATGTCCTAGGCTTCCACAGATTAGGGAACCATCAGGAGGGTGACTTGTCTAGTTGCAGACGTTCTTGGGTGCAGAGTGGGTACCACACAGAGAAAAGGCTACTTGGCAATCATGGAAACGCTCAGGAGGCCCTACAGCAGCTACAAGCAGAGGAGTGAGCCTGCACACAGGGCAGAAAACAAACAGCGGTGGCCTGGGTGGGAGCTGCTGCTTGCGCCTTGGAGATACATTTTATTCCTTCTCCCCTCATAGTTGCTAACTTGGGGGCTGGTGTATCAGGGAGGCCATTTTTGGCATCGGGTCCCTGAGGGCTCAGCCGAAACTCGTAGGTTGCCTCCTCCCACGTCTCCCTGCCTTAGGTAGCTCCACTCTTCCCGTGGCAGCAAGGTTAGAGCCCTCGGCCTTCCCGATGGGTGGGCAGCTGTACAGCTTTGTGAAGGTTGCCCCTTGCTCATCCTGAGTGAGTGGAGGCATCTTGTCTGACCCATGGCAAGGTCGGGGAATTGCGGAGTAATTGCTGTACTCTTCTTTTTACACACAGAAATGTTTATTTAAATATATTAAATGGAATTTTCTTTCACAGATACGGATTATTCTTTCTAATTTTTAAATAAAACTGAACTTGATTTTACTCCGAACAAGCGTGACTATGTAGGATGCAGAAGCCACACATGGTAACCGTGTCAAGAGGACCCCACCCACAGGGTTTCTGTGTAGCCCTGGCTGTCCTGGAACTCGCTTTTTAGAACAGGCTGGCCTTGAACTCACAAACACCTGTCTGCCTCTGCCTCCCGAGTGCTGGGATGAAAGGCACAACAAATAAATCAGGTGGCGGTGGTACATGCTGTTCTTTGCCCCAGCTTAAATTTAAGATATATTTTATGTGTATTTTACCTGCACGCATGTCTGCAGTACATGCATGTGGTACCCACAGAGGCCAGAAGAGGGCATCAGCTCACCTGGACTGGAGTTACAGGTGATTGTGAGCACCACGCGGGTGATGGGATCCGAACCCCGGGTCCTCTGAAAGAGCAGCCAGTGCTCTTAACCCCTGAGCCATGTCTGGAGCCTGCATGCCAGTCCTGAGAAAGCCGACACCTGGGTGCAGCTCACTAGGACCCAGTTACTAAGCTGCTGCCCCCATGTGGGGATGCCATCCTCATTGCTTTCCCGTTGCTTCTTGATTGTGGATGTGTGTGGAAATTAGTTCTTTCCTTGTGCCATGGCAGTCCAGGTCATCAGGCTTGGTAGCAAGCCGCTTTGGGCCCTGAGCCACCTCGCCGTCCCTCATCTCTGGTTTCCTACTTGGGTCTGGGGTAGTCTTGGTTCTTTAATGGGGGCCCTTCTGGGAGGATGCTCGGGGTCCAGCTGCTTCCATGGGGCTCAGATGCCCTCTCTCTCTTCTCGGTGATGCTCCCTGGGTCGATCCTAAAAACAGTTTGACGTGAGCCAGATGGCTTCACTCCCCCCCCACCACACACACACTATATCCATTCTAGCAGCTTTCAGATTGGAAGACCTTTCCGCGGAAGAGTGTCCCTGGACAGAGCTCTGCCGCCTCTAGTGAGAGTCTCACCCTAGGTGACAGCTGAAGCTGTTAGTAGTTAAGTCTTAACAGTTCAGACCGGTGGCCTATGAGCTAGGGCTGCCCTAAGCACATCTATGTGTGGAAGGGTGAGACCTACCTGCTCTGCCTTCAACACGCTGCTTCTAGGCAGCTCTCGATCTCAACTCTGAATACAAGGCCTCTTCCTCCCAGTGATGAACACGTCCCTGGTTTTTTGTTTTGTTTTGGGGTTTGTTTTGTTTTGTTTTGGTGGCCTGAACCGTGCCATCCAGTCTGGTTCCCAGCAGTCCTGCCTCCATTTCGCTAGTACAGTGGTTGCAGGTGTGTGTGTGTGTGTGTGTACTCGTGTCTTACAAGTTATATACATGTGCATATGGAAGTCAGAGGACAGCATAGGGTGTTGTTCCTTAGCCCCCCCAACTCTTTTTGTGTGTGGGGGGGGGGGGTTTCAAAACAGGGTTTCTCTGTAGCTTTTGGAGTCTATCCTGGAACTTGCTCTTATAGACCAGGCTGGCCTCGAACTCACAAAGATCCACCTGTCTCTGCCTCCCGAGTACTAGGATTAAAGGTGTGTGCCATCAACACCCGGCTCCCCCCCAACTCTTGAGATAGGTCTCCCACTGGCATAGAACTTGCCAAGTAGGCTTTGATGGTGGCCAACAAGCCCCAGGGTTCCTCCTGTCTCTACCTTTCCAGTACATGACAGCATTTTTTTTTTTAATGTGGGTTTTGAAGGTCAAGCATTTTGTACCTGAGCCATCTCCCCAGCCCATTTCTCCTTTATGGCCTAGGTCTTTTATTTCTCTTTGTACATGAAGCCGTCACAGGGAGTGGGCTGTAGGTGCCCAGGCTCCCTCCAAGTTCTCACAGAGTGCTGTGGGAACAGCTGGCCGGTGCTGCAGGTGAGCTCAGGTGCCTTTGGCTTCCTTTCTTCCTGACTGTTCCCTTTACCCTTTCCAGGAGCTGTTCCGGCCACGTGGTAATCCCCTCGATAAGAACCTTGCCCTTAACTTGCTTGCTTACAAGGATGTCAGCAGTATGTGGGGGACACTCTCAAGGTCTCCCTTTTTGAACAGTGCCCATCTCCTTGATGACTATGTCACCCTTGTAAACTGGTTCTATGTGGTCAAAGGAACAGCTCCATGTTCCCCAAAAGGCCTGTGAAACAGGTCAGGGCCTCTCTGTCCTTCACAGAAGGTGTGCTTGTGTGTGTGCGCGCGTGTGTGTGTGCGTGTGTGTGTGTGTGTGTGCGCGCGCGCGTATTTGAAGACAGGATCTCACTTTGTAGCTCATCCTCCGCTCACACTTTTGTTCGTCCCCAAGTCTGTCCTTGTCACTCACCGGCTCATGTTGGAAAGAAGTTGTTTTACCTGGCTGAGGTCTCACTGTCCACGGCATCATCGTACATGTTCTGCTCCGTGTGCTCATCCACAGGTACCTGGAATCTGGGCGAGAGGAACCGGTGTAGGCTGCTTGAGGGCAGCAAAGTCCCTGCTTGTGGCCTTAAACTCACACTGCACCAAAACCACAGGGTAGCAGATCTTCCAGGGCACAACCAACACTTTTCCCTTGCTCTGGGACGATTTGCCAGGCCTCATATGGTTTGTCAGAGCCACTGGCCACAGCAGCATGCAGGCCCTGGTTAGGCCTGGCTTTTACAAGCTATCTGCTGGCCAGGGGAGACACCTCAGGGAGCAAACAGTGGGGCCAGGTGGTGTGGAGTGATAGCTCACTGGGTTTATTTTAGTTGGCAGTGTGGGGAAGCCTTCCTGCTGACCTTAGTGATGCGGCCCCATGAGACAACCTGGAGCACAAAGCGTGCGGGCCGAGGCTCGTCCAGAAGTGGGGGCTAGTGCAAATGCTCCAGGGGACTGAAAGGCCACTGCGGCCAGCGTGTTGCATGGTCTGACAGAGGTGGGCAGGGACAGGCCATGGAGTGCTACCACACTCTCTTATGGGAATTGCAGGCTACTTAAAAACACTGTGGGGTGTGCTAAAGGGCACGGTGGGGTTGACGTGGGGGGAGGCACAAGTCACAGGAAACAGGATGAAATGGAGAGTTCGGTCTGAGGTCTTGGGATGGGTTAAAAATGGGAACAAGGGACCAGCTGCTGGTGGTACATGCCTTTAATCCTAGCACCTGGGAGGCAGAGGCAGGCAAGACCAGCCTGGTCTACGGAGTGAGTTCCAGGACAGCCAAGGCTACACAGAGAAACCCTGTCTCAAAAAACAAACCCAAACAGAAAGGGACCAAATGAGAAAAGGAATCAGCTTGGCCCCCAGGCTTTGACATCAAGTGATGCCATTGACCAAGATAAGGAGTTGGGTGTGACGGGGTTGTGTCCAGAGTTCTGCTGTCTATTGCTGAGCTGAGGAGGCTTAGACACCCTAACAAGAGAGTCACCAGGAAGAATGTAGCTGTCAGTGAGTCTGAAGCACAGGAAAGCTAGGGGACACTGGGATCACCTCACTTTAAAGCCAGAGAACTGGGCCTATGGTGGGTTAGCTCTACACGGTGCACATGCTTGGAGCGCCCAAGGTTGGGTTGAGAGAGAGAGAGAACCCGGGGGATGAGTGGGGTCCCTTAAGGAGAGAATGGAAGGCGAGGAATGCCTGGGATGTGCTCCGGGAGGAGCAGCTGAGAAGCAGAGCAGGAAGGAGCCAGGGGACGGCTAGTGTGTAAAAGAAGCACACATGAGAATGCCAGAGCCCAAGCAGAGAAACATGCACAGCTGCACACAGTGGCCTCTCAGGAAGGAAACTGGGAAAGCACCAAAACCTGACAGTGGCGTTTTAGAAACAAGAAGACCTGCCTGCACACTGCAGGCCGTGGAGGCGTCCCCAGGTGCGCCCTGCCCACCTACTGCTTAGCTGCTTTCTTCTGCTGAGTGTATCTGCGGTCACCTGCACCACAGAAAATAAGCATCTGGACAAAGACTAACTCAGGAAGTGGGCCTTAGGGGAAGCTATCTGAAGAAATCAAAACCTTTCACTCAGCCTCAAGTGCCCAAGCGCTGAGAGAATCCCCCAGGAAACAGCAGGAGCTAGGAACAGAGAAAACCAGAAAGTCAAAACAAAGATGGGGGGCTGCTTTCAAACAGGAGAACCTAAATTCGATCCTCAGAACCCTGGAAATGACTCCTGAAGCTGGGCAGTGGTGGCGCACGCCTTTAATCCCAGCACTCAGGAGGCAGAGGCAGGTGGATCTCTGAGTTCGAGGCCAGCCTGTTCTACAGAGTGAGTCCTATGACAGGCTGCAAAGCTACAGGAAACCCTGTCTTGAAAACAATCAACAAAAATTATGACTCCTGCAAATTGTCCTCTTTCTTCCACATGTGCTCCGTGTGGCACACGTGTTCTCACACATACATGTGCTCCACGTGGCACACGTGTGCTTACACATACATGTGCTCTGCGTGGCACATGTGTGCTCACACATACATGTGCTCCATACGACATACACGTGCTTACACATACATGTACACAGACACAAAATAGTAAATATTTTTTGGAGATTAAGTCTCCTGATGTAATCCTGACTGGCCTGGAGTTTGTCATGTAGACCAGGCTGACCTCAAACTCACAGAGATATACTTGCTTCTGCTTCCTGGATTCTGGCACTAAAGGTGTACAACGACCATATCCAGCCAAAAAGGAAAAGAAAAAACACCAAGATCAACAGGAAGAGTGAAAGAGATGTAAGAATATGTCAAGAAAGAGAAAGCACACTCAACAAATGGTGCTGGCATAACTGTGTGTCAACATGTGGAAGAATGAAAACAGACCCACATCTATCGCCATGCACAAAACTCAACTCCAAATGGATCAACATAAAGCCAGCCACACTGAACCTCATAGAAGAGAAAGAGGGAAATACATTTGAATGCATTGGCACAGAAGACCACTTCCTAAATATAACCCCAGCAGCATAGACACTGAGAGAAACAATTAATAAATGGAACCTCCTGAAACTGAAAAGCTTCTGTAAAGCAAAGGATACGGTCAACAAGACAAAATGACAGCCTACAGAATGGAAGAAGATCTTCACCAACCCCACATCAGACAGAGGTCTGATATCCAAAATATACAAAGAACTCAAGAAATTGGTCATCAAAAGAACAAATAATCCAATAAAAAAAAAGGAGTACAGACCTAAACAGAGAACTCTCAACAGAGGAATCAAAATGGCTGAAAGACACTTAAGGAAATGTTCAACATCCTTAGTCATCAGAGAAATACAAATCAAAACAACTCTGAGATTCCATCTTACACCTGTAAGAACGGCCAAGATCCAAAACACTGATGACAACTTATGCTGGAGAGGTTGTGGGGAAAAGAGAACACTTCTGCATTGCTGGTGGGAATGCAAGCTGGTACAACCCCTTTGGATGTCAGTGTGGCAATTTCTCAGAAAATTAGAAAACAACCTTCCTCAAGACCAAGTAATACCACTTATGGGTATATATCCAAAGGATTCACAATCGTACCACAAGGACATGTGCTCAACTATGTTCATAGCAGCATTGTTTGTCATAGCCAGAATGTGGAAACAACCTAAATGATCCTTGACTGAAGAATGGATAAGGAAAATGTGGTACATTTACACAATGGAGTACTACACAGCAGAAAAAATAATGACATCTTGAATTTTGCAGGAAAATGAATGAAGCTAGAAAACATTATTTTGAGTGAGTAACCCAGACCCAGAAAGACAATTATCACATGTACTCACTCATAAGTAGCTTTTAAACATAAAGCAAAGAAAACCAATCCACAAATCACAATCCCAGAGAACCTAGACAGCAATGAGGACCCTAAGAGAGACATACATGGATCTAATCTACATGGGAAGTAGAAAAAGACAAGATCTCCTGAGTAAATTGGGAGCATGGGAACCTTGGGGGAGGGGAGAGACAGGGGAGGGAAGCAAAGAAAAATAAAGAGCTCAATAAAAATCAAGAAAGAAAGAAAGAGAGAGAAAGAAAGAAAGAAGGAAGGAAAGAAAGAAAGAAAGAAAGAAAGAAAGAAAATGTCCAGAGAGTACACGGCTAAGAGAGATGGTAAAGAGAAGGGCTGGTGTCCCATCATAGGGACACTAAAAAGAGACTCAGTCAAGCCAGCAATTGATTTTAAAGAGCATGCCAAATCCCAAACCAAAAGATAGGAACTCCCAGAGTGAAAGAAACCATTGTCACCCATCCCATGGCTAGAAACACCTCATCGTGTGAAATTCAAGACATAGGCAAGACAGACGTCTGCAAGCTTCCAAGAAGAGTAGTAGGTCACAGTAAGGGCTAGGGATCAGAAGAACTCAGCTGGCTTGGGGACATCCCCGGAAACTGGAAGAAATAGAGCCCCCACCTCCCAAACATAATTCTTTCCAGTCTAGAATCTCGAATCCAGAATTTAAGACTCAAACTATTGGTCAAGTGTGAGGGAAAACACAAAGAATTTTCTGGTCCGTGCTGTCTGGACACAGACCTCACTCCAGAAGTAATTTACACGCTAACTGGAAGATGAGGCGGGGCCCCTGCATTCCACACATCTGTGATCAACATCCTTGGTCAGGACCTCAATCCACTGAACCCAGGGTCTCACTCATGCTAGGCACGACTAGCCAAGTTGACAGGCCTGCACCATCCAGTCCGATTGCTCATAACATTCTTGTGCCTGAGAGGGTCTGGTCCAGACCTGGCTAGTCAGCCTTGAGCTGATGAGGCTGCTGGGACTCACATGACAGTTCGAGTTCCTCCTGATCTGATGTCCTGAGGGTTGAAGGGCTATCTTGTACCTAGCAGGGTCTCAGTCCGCTCAGTTACCACTTTTGGGGAGTCTTTATTTTGTTTGAGATGAAGTCTGGCTAAGTAGAAGTCTAGCCCTAGGCTCAGGGCCATCCATCCTCCTGCCCCAGCCTCTAGAGTGCACCACCACTTCTTTGGTAGATTCGCAGATTCTAGTACCTGGTCTGCAAGAACCTGCCAACCTAGCCTGCTGCCTTCCCCACGGCCATCTTTCCCACACATTCTCACCTGGGCTCTAGCTGCTCCTTCACTCTGGCAATGGAGCGGATGTAGGGCGTGATCTGCTTAGTGATGGTGGTCAGGTAGGCATTCTCCTGCTTCAGCTGGAGAAGGTCATGGAGCTGGGCTGTGAAGCCAACGCCAAACTGTTGGTTGTTGGTGTTAGACCCCCCCCCCCCCCGCACCTAAGCCTGGCACGATCTAGAGATCTCAACTGCCAATGACCTCTGTGATCAAAAGGAACAGCGTGTGGTGTGGAGACCCCACTCACTGGCTGCTACCCTCCAAAGCAGGTGTGAAAGCCGAGCCAAACGCTGGGGGTGGGGGGGGGGGGAGAGAAGAGAGAGGAGATACGCATGCGCAGTTAGTGCCTGGCCGGCTCCCTCCCCTCTCGAATGTGGATTAACGTTGAGCAACCACTGCCGGGGACCTTCATAAATCTCCTGCTGGGTAGCTACCCGTTGGTAGGAGTCCTCCCAGATCTGAAAGAAGAGTGGCGTACTGGTTGAGGTGGGGAGGAGGAATTTCACTGATAGTGTTTCTGCTCCGGGAGCCGTACAGCCACACACACCAATCTGGTCCACATTTCTCCAGGAACAGAACCCATAGCGTGAGGGTCTGGCAGAGCGCCATGCCAGGCACTGTGCTGTCCCCTTCCTGCCTTGGGGTGGCCATGTGCCTTTGCAGGAAGCTAGGTAGAACTCTGGGGGAGGTTACCTCCTGGAAGACAGCTCTCATGCCTTCCATGGAGGCATACTCAGAAGCAATCTGTGTGTCCAACAGCAGGGACCTGTGCAGGATGTCCCCCATGATCTCCGCCTTGATGAGCGAGTGGTGCTTGGTGAGGTCTCGGTGTAATTCCTGAACCTGGTCCTTCAGGTTCTGCACCTCTACCTGCAGACCCTGTTGCAGAAGTGGGGAATGGAACCCTGCCGGGTCTTCTAGTGGAGCAGTGTCTTTCAAGTCCTCCCTCCATCCTCCCCCAACAAGTGAATCTTAGTGAGGAAGGGGTGGGGCCTCACAACCCTGCAGCCGCCCAGCCCCCCTCACCCGATAGGAATCTTCGTAATGGCGGCAGTGCTCTGTGAAGGGTGTGTCCTCGCCCTCGGCCAAGAGCACCTTCGTGCTGATGGAACGGTGTGGTGAGGGTTTCTGGACAGGTGACCCTGGCATCTTTCCCACTGGGGAGGGACAGCTGGGTGTCTTCAGCACCTTGGGGCTTGAGCTCCCCGCCAACCTGCCGAGAGAGCCAGTCTGCATAGGGTAGGGGGCCGGTCTTCCCTTCTCCTAACCCCTTTGGCTGCTCAGGGAGCCACTGTCCCCTCAACCCAACTGCAGGGTAGAACTCCTGGAAGCTCTTAAGGGCCCCAGGCAAGGACAAGGTAAGAGTACCCTCTTAATGAAGTGATTTCTGAAAGGCTTTCCCCCCAGGTTGCATCTGGGCACACCTAGGTACGGCTCACTCCCGTGACACAGATCTGAACTAAGAAGTGGTCTCTCTTGGGCTCACACGCCGATTTCACTACTTCTAACCCCTCCGAGGAGACTCTGGCTTTCAACCGGGTCGGGAAGTCTAATTCACAGTGACTCCGGGTACCCAGAGAGCGTCCTGCCCAGCCTGCTGGAGGAAGACTGTGAAGCTGAAGAGCGCCTGCCCGGTCTCTCCTCTCAGTTGTCTGGGGCTTCGTGCCCCAGCATCCTCAAGGGCTTTCTTGTTTCTCCCTCCCTCTCATACTGTCGCCGGGCTGCGACTTAGCAGGGAAGGGTGGTGCGAGAGCCTTTTCCGTGATCCCGCCCGGCCGCGGCTCACGTGTTGGCGACGCCCACGGTGGACACGGCTCTGCGGGGCCCCAGCAGCAGCAGCGGCTCCAGACAGCGCGCAAATTCTGCGCGGTGATCGCTGGCGATCTGGACCGGAGATTGGGTCATGAGCGACTTTCCACTGCCTAGGTATTTCCGGGCCCAGACCCCCGACCCCCGTCTCCAGACTGGGCGCCGGCACACCTTGCTGCTCTGAGCTGGTCTTAGGCGGTGCGGCCGCGTGACGACGCCTTGCAGCCTCTCCATCAGCTCCTGTCATGGGGGAAGAGCTCAGGACAAGGGTGGGGTGGGGTGTAGGTGTGACCAGGAGGTAACAGCGGGGGGGGGGGGGGGGGGGCGCCCAGAGACAGCTCCCCCCCCCAAGTCACTTCTGCAGTGATGTGAGACAGGGACCTTCTGTACAGGACGGACTCTAGGTGGGAAGAGAGGGTCCTGAAGGAGCTGGGGACACTCACATAACCCAGGTCCAGAAACTCAGCCTTGCTGGCCAAGCTGAGGAAGGATGAACAGATGACCAGGTGAACCTGAAGGAGGATACCATGCTCAGGGCTTGGACCATGGGCTGGGGTGTCCAGCCCTACACTCCCCTCAACCCTTACCTGTAGGGTGGGTAGCAAGGAGGCCAGGTGGGCAAGCTGTTCCTTGAAGGCTTTGTCCTTCTCTTCATATTGGCTGGGAGAAGGGCAGGAGAGGCTGTTTGATCTCAGGGGAACAGATGCCTGCCCCACCTGCAGGATCTTCAACTCTGCAGCCCTGTCTTTTTGCTAGTGCTTGTGCGTGAGTGTGTGTGTGTGTGTGTGTGTGTGTGTGTGTGGTGTCTGTATCCATATGTGTGCCTGTTCCTTTGGTGTGCCTGTGTGTCAGAGTGCATATGCACACATGTATGTTTACATGTACGTATGGAGGCCACAGTTCTACATCAGGCGTCTTCCTCAATAACCCACCACCTTATTTTTTGAGAGTCTCTCTAGGCTGTGACCAGTGAGCCCCAGGGGTCCTCTTATCTCTGCCTCCCCAGGGCTGATATTATAGGCATGCCCACTGCAGGATTTTTAATTAATTAATTTATTTATTATTTTATTATGTATACAGTGTTCTGTCTGCATTTATCCCTAAAAGTCAGAAGAGAGCACTATATCTTATTATAGATGGTTATGAACCACCATGTGGTTGCTGGGAATTGAACTCAGGACCTCTGGAAGAGGAGCCAGTGCTCTTAACCTCTGAGCCCCCACTGCATGTTTTTAAAGTGTGTGCTGGGGATGTGCTTTGGGCTCTCGTGTTTCTGTGACAGGGCCTTTACTGACAGCCATCTCCTCAGCTCTGTTTCTGTTTTGTTTTGGTTTGATTGTTAAAACAGTGTAGGCAGCCCAGGCTAGCCCTGAACTCCTGACCCTCCCATCACTACCTCCCGAGAGCCGCCCTTCCAGGCGCACACCACGGCTACTTCTCCACCATCTTTGTAGCTCCCTCCCTGTGAACGCCCTCCCCACTTCTGACGGCAGTCACCTGCGTGTCCTGTCCACCACGTAAGGCAGAGCCAAGGCTCAGGCTCAGAGCTGGGTATCTGGAGGTCAAGGGTAGGGGACAGGGACTCTCCATCACTCACCTCTGCACGGTCTGCAACAGCAGAGCTTTCCTCTCGGCCAGCCTGTCCTGGGAGAGACAGCCCATCACTGACCTGCACACCCGGCTCCGACATCTACCACAACGCCTTGGGGCATGGCACAGGCAGCATGATTAGCACAGGGCCCTGCTCTGTGACCAAAAGGTCTTCTTCCTCCCTGCATGGGACTGCTGGAGAGCCCAGGCACCTGAACCTTAAGTGTCACCATTTGTACTCTCTTCCTCGACCCTGCCACCAACCTAACTCTGGACTAGGCTAGCCTCTGGCAACTCTCCAGGCAACTGTGATTAACCCAATTTGATGGAACACCTGGCACTACACTGTACACTCCGTGAAGGTACCTGGGATACTACTGACCCCACCCCTCACCTGCATGCTGCCAAAGAGGGAGTGGATGGCCGCCTCCTCCTCTGCTGCGCTGTGCCTCACCTCCTCCACCATGGCCTGTAGCAGCGCGATGGCCTCCTTCGTGGCTGTCTGCAGAGCTTTCACTGCCTGGGGGCAGCAGGGTCTCAGTCCCATTCTCCCAGGTTCTCACAGCTCCCACTCCCACCCTGTTTCAGCTCCTTGGTTCCCCCTCTCACCAGCACTGCCTGCTCCAGCCGCTCACAACCTTGCACGTACGCTGACTCCAGGTCCACACAGTGGGCCCGGCTCTCCCTGTCGAGGGGCAGCTAATAAGACCCGCTCCACTCACGCCCCGCCCACTCCCTGCCTGCTCCCACTACCCACCCCTGCATGTCCCGAAAGCAGCGGATGCATAGCAGCGACTTCTTGTCAGTGGAAAACATGATGTAGGGCTCCGAATGGAGCGCTGCGGAGGGGGTGGGGGCGGTGATGAGAGCCCCGAGACAAGCCCACCTGATTCCCACCCCTGGCCAGGGTGTGCCTCACTCACGACACTTCTGGATCACATCACGGGGGCGCTGACCCAGGGCTACAATGTCATGCCTTGCGAACATGCGCGCGCGGTGCGTTTCTTCGCGGCAGCGTGCGCACAGCGGCTGCCCGCAGGTGTTGCAGAAGTACGTGGTCTCTGCGTCCTGGGGACCGAGAGCTGGCTCAGGCCACCTTCTCCTCGGGCCAGAGTTCTAGGACTCAGCTGAACCACAGCCACCCTGTGTCATTGAGCCCAGGCAACGGGTCCAGGTAAACTCCTTCCCACAATCCCCAGCAGCTGAACTTTCTAACATTTAAAAAGTTATATGTATTGATTCACTTGTTTATGTGGGAGAGTGCCCAAGTGCCATTCCCTTCTTCCACCTTGTGGGTTCTGGAAATCAAACTGATGTCTTGCAGGCTTGGCAGCAAGTGCTCTCACGCGCTGTGCCACCTCCCTGCCCCTCTTCACTGGGCCCTTATACACCCAAGTTAAGATGAGGACATTGGGTCTGGACAGACAGTTCAGCAGTTAAGAGCACTGGCTGCTCTTCCAGAGGACTGAGGTTCAATTCCAGGCGCTCGCAACTGTCTGTAACTCCAGTCCCTGAAGAGCCAAAGCCCTCTTCTGGCCTCTGAGGACACAAAGCACCTGCTTGGTGCACAAATAAACAGTCAGGCAAAACACACATACACATAAAAAGATTAAAAAGATGAAGGCACCAAGGCTAGCTAGGCGAGTGGGTGTAGGAAGGACCGAACACTGGGCAGAAAGATAGTTCCCAGAGATGGTAGGCAGAAACTCGCCCCGTTGGCACTCTCAATAGTTACCACACGGTGGTATGCATCCTGGCCAGGTCCTTACCATTGGCCCCACAGGCAGCCTCACCTCGCATCTTCCTTTCCCAGCCTGGCAAACTAGGCTAAAGCACAGGTCCTGGGCTATGTCAGTCATCCCGGCTCCAGCAAGCCCCTCCTCCCCAACAGGAACCAAATGTGTATAGGGCTGCTGCCATTTCAGCGTCTGGCACGAGACGCAGGGTGGTGTGGGAGCCAGGGACAGTGGAAGATAGGAGGAGAAGAGACTATTCATGACCATGCCGACCATTCAGGTCTTCCTGGCCATCTGGAGTGACAACTCAGAGGGGAAGGGCATGCATAAGGACTCCTGGGGCAGCCCCAGGGCATGGGGCACAGCCTGGGCAGTGACTATAACTTTGATCTGTCAAACCCTACTTCTTTTTTAAAAAATTAGCTTTATTTCATGTGTTTTGGTGTTTTTCCTGCATGTATGTCTGCATGAGGGTGTCGGATCCCCTGGAACTGGAGTTACAGACAGTTGTGAGCTGCTGTGTCGGAATTGAACCTGGGTTGTCTGGAAGAACAGCCAGTGCTCTGAACCACTGAGCCATCTCTCCAGCCCTGAAGCCTCTTACTCTTTTTATTTTTAAATATTTTATTTATTTATTTATTCATTATACAGTTTTGTCTGCATGTCTGTCTGCAGGCCAGAAGAGGGCACCAGATCCCATTATAGAGCCCATGAGATTGCTGGGAATTGAACTCAGGACTTCTTAAACTCTGAGCCATCTCTCCAGCCCAGCCTCTTAGTCTTTACATCGGCAGTCAAGGCCATTTCTTCAGAGTGCCGCCCTCCCCTCCTGCCTGTTGTCTTTAGTTTTGGGCAATGGTTTCTCAGCTCGGGCTTAGCACACTGGTTTGAGGCCGTATGCCCCTGAGCTTCCTTCCTGCCATATGGGGCCATCAACTCTACTTGCCTCTGCTTTGTGTCGGGACTGGAGACCTTCCTCGCCTTCAGCTCCCTGCTCTCTCTCCAGCTGCTCACAGCTGCACACCACATGAGCTTCAGCCACTTACGTGTGCTTAAGTAGTGTGTGGGGGGGGTCCTAAGGGTCCCCCAGGCCTGTGAACCGAACCACGGCTCCCATGACAGCTCACAACTCCACCCTGACCTGGGAACCCTGAAGTTAGCTCTCCCTGAATTGAATGGCCTCAGCCTCTGCCACTATCTGGTTATTGGCTCAAGTCGTTTTTTTTTTCCTGGACCTTGGTCTCCCCACCTGTATGTATGATGGGGCGTGGTTGGAGTCCGAGGGATCTCAGGGAGGGGCTGGAGACTTCATTGATGGTCAGGGTTGTGCATCCGGGCATGCTGTAAGTGTTGGGGACCATGCCATCTGGCACCCACTGCCCTCTACTTCCTCACCTGCTTGCCGCATTCCAGGTCGCAGTTGGCACAGTGCACAGCCTCCACACCATCCCCAGAGCTATCCACCAGGAACTGCAGCAGCCGGTCCACTGGCGGGAGCCCATTGGGACCCTTCACCAGGGTCTGGTGCCTGCAGAGAGGCTGCAGCCAAGATCTGGGCGCCCTTGTAGGAAGCCCTCCCCACTACCCTTCACATTCCAGGCCAGAGCTAAAAATAGCAGTGTCAGGGTGGTGGGGTCTGCTATAAATACAGCAGCCAACTTGTCCCGAGATCCCCACCCTACCCAGTGTGTGTGTAAGCCTGACGTCATACTGCAATGGAAAAGGTCAGGTCACCCGAGTGGACCCTATCATTTCACTGGAACATTTTGAGCTAATTTAGCAATGGCATTAACCTAAGATTTCTGGGACACGCCCCCACATCTGTGTTGCTGGGAGTACCCAGGCGTCTTCTCCAGCCCTACCTTAGCACCCTGACTCTGGGAAGCCTGTGGCAATGATCTTCTGCCTTTGTTAACCTGACTAAGCTACAGGGGGGTTGGGGGTGGTTCCAGTAAGTCCGTTTATAACAGTGGACTGTTCCCACGTCCTCAGCCTGGGCTTGGAACCTCACCATCTACACTTGGCCTCTCAACCAGGATGAGAGCCAGCTTCACCCTCTCTGGGCTTGGGACACTTACTGGCACAGCGGACAGGACAGGCGGCCATCAGTAGCCCGTCCGCGCAGGCAGCCAGCGCAGAAGTCGTGGAAGCAGTCCAGCAGGCACGGGCGCTCATACTGTGCATGGCACAGCGGACACACGAGGGGATGGCCACTCGCAGCATCCAGGGTACCCAGGCCCTCCAGAGGCGCAAAAATTGCTCCAGACATTTGCGTGGATGAACCGTTCAGGACAATGACTGGGGTTCCTGGGGCCCAGACCACCTCCCTCCTACCTAGCCCTTCTAGACAAGACTTAGCAAGTAGCTTAGGGATGCTGGAATGCTGGTAGCGCCCTAACAGGGCGGGGTTGGGGGAGGGCTGTTGGAGAGGGGCCCTGCCACCGGTCACTCACCTCTCTCACAGTCCCTCTGCTGTGGCTCTACGGGGGAGTGGTTGGCCCTAGAAGGTCAGGTCGGCAGGCTGGACTGTGCCTCCTCCCCTCTATCACTTCTCCCACCTCCTCTCCCTCCCACCGTTTGCAATTCTCCGCCCCACGTCCTCTGGGTGACCGCGAGTGAGGTCCCTTGGTGCTCCTTCCTCAAGGTGTTGCTGCTTTGCTGAGCCTGGTCCGCAGTCTCGCCGCTTCACCCGGTGTCCAGAAGCCCCGAAAAGCAGTCTGAGGGTCCCAGACGCCACCAGACCTCGCCTTGAGTTTGGAGCACAGAGCAGAGGTAGCTGATACACGGCTCTCGGATCTTCAGTCAGCCTCCCGGGCTAACCTGGCACTCTTTGACCCGGGACGGGAGAGGGAACAGTGGATCTTCACAGCCCCATTTCCTCCATGGCCAGCTGGGGGCTCCAGAGAGCAGCAGACGATCCACAACATTCTAGGGTTCAGATGAGGGTGCGCTTTGGGGTCCTAGGCCTTCCTTAGTAGGTTGTGGTGCTCAGACAAGTTACCGACTTCCCTGAGTTGATCGTGTGATGGGGTGAGACATGCATGGATCAGTGCACGTGAAAAGCCCCATGTTCAAAGGGGGGTGGGTTTGGGTGGGAGGTTGGGACCAAAGGGTTTCTCTGACTTAGCTTGTTCTTCTGATGGTCTCTATCCGGGGCGCCCTTCCTTCCTAGGCGATGATCCCCTTCCAGGGCGCCCTCCCTTCCTAGGCAATGTTCTTAGCTTTCAGCGCTCTCCACTCAAGTTTTCCTAAACCCTGTGGAAGAACTCATTTTGCTCCTTTCCCATAAATCACGTCCAGAGTTTGACCCCCAGAAGCCTTACTCACTGGCTAGAAAAAGCAGAGTGGCTGGGTTTTAAAAGATAAACCCGAGTTTACCAGAAGGCAGTAAATTCTGTGTAGAATTACCTGTTCTCCTTTCTGAAAAATTTATATTATGTTATTTATTTGTGTGTGTAGGGGAGCTGGTGGAGAAGACAGGACAGCTTGCAGAAGTCGGTTCTCTCCCTCATCCGTTTGGTCTTGGGATTGAACTTGGGTCATCAGGTCTGGCAGCAAGTGCCTCTGGCGGCTGAACTGTTGCTGGCCTTACCTGCGGTTATAAGGGCTCTCCTAGCTCTGGATAATTTGTACCCAGTCTTAACTGTTACAATAGCAATTAAAGAGCTAATATTTAGAGGCCAGGATGCTTTTTTTAAAGTAGCCTTAGCTAGTGTTTGATCCTGATATTGATCTTAGTAAAAAATAAAAAATAAAGAAGTTACCTCTAGTAAAAATGGTGGAAACTGGTACAAGGAAGGAGAGAGAGAGAGAGAGAGAGAGAGAGAGAGAGAGAGAGAGAGAGAG